AGAAGAAATAATGAACCATGTACGATTAGTGTCAGGATTATATTTTTAGACAAAAGAACAAAGGATGGCCCTGTATTTCAAAATCACCCGTAGAGTCCACTTAATTTTCCACTTCGGTGGAAGTAAGGCAGCATGGGCAGCAGCAGCACGCCACTACTTTGCACCTTGTGCACTTCCAGCTAAGGACCTTAACATGAGAGTTAGGATGGGCATGGGTGTCGGATTACTGAACCGTCTCAGGGCCAAGAGTGACACGCCGCCAGTGACCATGAAAGTGGATAAGTGGGCCCCCGAATGAAGATACCTGTTATGATACGATGTCAGATCATGGCTTATTGTCTGCCTTAAATAGGCTTGCAAAGCAGAGTTTTTATGCGCAGTAATTAAAGTTTGTTATACCAGGATAGCAAACTTCAACCGCTGCCAGCAATTTTCAGAGAATTCCACGGGAGATCATCAAGACATGCTCAATATGACTCCGATGACTTCGATTTCTACCAAATTGTGTTCATAGGCATATCTGGATCCAATATCAAATCCTCGTGATTTTTAGATTTCAGGTTACAGGTCGCAAGTTGTAGGCCACCAAATGTTAGTGGTGACCCGGAAAGTTGTACCAGAAACTTGTCAACATTTGTGCAATGGTCACTAAGACCAGCAAATAATTTGAAAGTGGGTAATATGTTGCGTCCATCACAAATTCTTACAACTTCTGATCCTTTCTTATCCCATTTACCGTATCACTTCTTAAGCCCATTATCGTTCCTAAAAGCTTTATTTGGAAATTCGCCACCAGAACCTGCCCAGCGCAGTGACCTTGTCATGACACACAGCTTCCTTTGTAACTCCCACCCTGTGATGCGTCACCGAGGTGAACCGCGAGTTCATGCCATGACCTGTGAGTATCTACGTGCGTGTGGCCATTATCATAGCCCATATGGATATCATGTGGAAGGCCATCGCCCCAATCAGCATCTTGGTAATACCGTGGAGTATGAGGAGGTCATGTGATTCACGTGTCAGCCAGTGACCTGACCTTAAAGAGTGGTTTAAGATAGAAAGTTATGTCTAGTTAACATAGACTTCATTATAACGGCATCCTTTGGCTTGAAACTATGAGCACAAAATCGGAGTATTTCAAGATGACAAATGCACAGCCGACCACATAAGTTTGTCACCAACAGCTGTGTGCTTTGCGACGTGTTTTAGCAATGTGGATTATTGTTGTATTGCTCTGTTACATGATTACAAATGGGGGCCTTCACAGGTTGTGTAAGCCAATAGGTACCATCAATGAATGCGTAATGGGTTGGATTGCGTATATGACATGTTCGATAGACAACGAAATAGCACACAATGTTATTGTTTATACATTTTTAGTTACACCTGACTCCATCCACCTGTCTTTGCAATTATCAACAGCACGCTTCGGTGTAAGTTTTCATAAGACGTTCCACAATCTGTCACGGTAGTATTGCGAAAATGCAAACGGGTGGAAAGAGGTGGGTACAACTGGCTTTCGGTGGGTGGCGGGTTGGTTTGGGCACAGACCCATGGATAGCGAGTGGACTGGGTATAGTAAATATTATGCGTTGAATCCTTTAATGATAGCATTAGATTTTGCTGTTGGCTCTGCTGTGCCAATGGGGTGATTGTATATATAGTTTTGCAGCACACACATCTTATAGCAGCATAAATGGACTCACGAAATACAATGCATTACGGATAATACACGAGCGCAAGAAGTATTCGCGTGTATTGGGCAAAAAATTTAACGTGGAATCTTCGCCAGCGCCTGTGGCTTGAAAGCACCCAGTCATTGGCGGCGGTCTCACACACCGAGCACGTGGTGACTTGTTTAGCTACCGAGGTAACTAGCATGCTGTTGCGGTAGGTTCCTTCACTGTCAGCACGCGGCAAAACGTTTACATATCCTACACGAGCCGCGCACTGCGAGGACATAAGTCCGATCCTTCTGCTATCTCCAATAGCCTTGAAGGCAGATCAGAACCCTCTATTCGTATTGGGGTTTTTGTCACAGGGCTCGAAGATGGCGCCTCACGGCGCATGGTATTGGGCTTTGCATCGGCCCCTGAAAGCAAGCACGTTATGTCGCTTTCTGGAAAGGCCCACCGATGCCATCGGGTGCATTTTTTCCACGTGAGGTAGCAAAAGAAATGCCGCTTGCACTGAGTCCCAAAAGCTATCCGATGATGAAAATTGTTTGCAAAGTTAAAACCATCTTATCAACTGCCCTGAGCATGCAGCATGCAGCAGAGCAGAGCATGCAGCATGCAGCAGAGCAGAGCATGCAGAGCACCTGACCGAAAGCAGCGCAGTTTCTGTGGACCTCCATGCACGTTTGATACGCGCGGCATCGAAGCATGTTGGGATGTTTTCACTTCTGCTGCGTTGTGTGCTAGGGGGTCGGACATCCCACAAACGTTCTGGCGGCAAGTCTCTCGTGCAAGGTACGCTCTTTGTCAGGGAAACCATTGGATTGTGTCCGGTATGACGAACGTAACATATCCCGCAAAATTAACCGATCAGTACTGCCTCATGGTCGGGAACAGGACTGTGCAGCAGCATGTACAGCTGGGCATGTGCTTCAGCCGCATAGTGATGACGCGCCAGCCGTGTTATCGCCTTACTGAGCTCGTCTTGAGGAAGAACATCACCTAAAGCGCACCAGTCAACCGTGATACAACCCTTACGCCCAAATAGTTTGTAGAAATATATATATATATATATATATATATATATATATATATATATATATAATAGAAACATTTACAGAAATAGTATAGCATGTGTAGACATATCCTCGTATCTCGTGTACATTATCCAGACCATTGTCCGTTTGGCTTTTGTCCAGATACAGCTATTTCCTCGCTCCTTCCTCCCTCAGACACTCCCTGCACACACGCGAATGCGGTTTCGTTTTCTCATAAGGCAGACATCTCACCATCAGATAGTACACATGGAGCCGCTACTTGCACGAGCTGCGGTCTGGAGCTTAGTGGCCCCGTGAAGCAAGCAAACAACACCACTATTAGCCAGCACTCCTGCCGGGACAGGTTCACATGGCCACTTTTTGTAGAGATCCGGTACGATTGCATTGTCTGTCTTTCGAAGCAGAGATGTCAACGTCTCCAGACATATCCATTCCCCGCAACTAAACTGGCTGGCCGTAATATGAGCGATCTCCGTACCTAGTTCTGGCGCCTTTGTAACTTTATTATTTGCAGGTGTGCAGCCAGTACAGCCATTTTCCAGAGTTAGCGTGGCGCCAAAGCTATTGCTGACCGTGGTGCTATGGCACCGGAAGCTGTTACTGTCTCTCTTCTCAGTTCTTGTTGGCCTACTTTATGACGCACTTGTCATTTTATTCTCAATAGGGCCTTTAAAATGACACTCATATGGACTACTTACTACGCCTCACCAACGAACACCGACCAACATCAGGTCACTGACCGATACGTGACCTGCGTGACCTCATCCACACTTTGAAATATCCAGAAGGCATTTGGTGGGTGACGAGCTTTTATGTGATACCCGTATCGGCTATTTGTCATGCCATAAGCACTGAAGGTCAATACCATGACCCATGCTTATGGGGGCGGAAATGTACCACCCCTGTGTAGGCCAATACTATGGCCTCACTATTGACTTCGGTGACACATCGCAGAGTCAGAGTTATAAAGAAAATTGGATTTGATATTTAGGTAATGCACTGGACATTCTTCCGCGACAAACTAACAATTTTCAAAATATTTGGACCACTCATGAATGTGAAAAATTTTCCGAGGTCACGGTGTCAAACAATTGGTGCAAAGCGTGTTTCTATGTTAACTGGATGCAGTAGGTCATCTGCTCTCAAATGATGCGCAGTTGTGGTTAAATCTGGGCGGTCATTACGTAGAAGATAAATATGTGCTGATTCAACCTTTGAGCTTATCCCGAAAAGTTCAAGACATCATCACGCAATCTAACAAATAGTTTGGGTCGTAATCGTAATCGGTCATAATCGTAAACGATCTATCGATTACGTTATCACAAAATCGTTCACGACCGGTTGCGAAATCGGTCGCAATCGTAAAACAAAAAATCGTTATCTATATTTGTGATATAGATGAGCAAGTCTGCCAAAATTCGTCAAAATCGGAACGGTCACGGAGGACGATTATAAGTATTCCTTAGTAATATGTCCAAGAATAGCCCTATCCCTAGTGATGACAAGAACAGTTTGAAATCTCCATCAATGAGATTTAACGAATTCTTGCTTGATGGCATCGTCTAATCTACATGTCTGGCATATCGTGGGATGTTAAGCGTCAGTCGCCTCTGGGCTCATAATACCTGGAGACCAGGGGCTCCATGTTTATCTGCTACTATTAGGGTGTTATTCGCACCGCGTGACTCAAGTTTCATATAGTTGACCTACCATCGCCGCACGAAAGCGGCGCAAAACCTAACCGTCCCCTTTGAAACTTTCTTTTGTGTCGAAATGCGTCGGAGATGAACAACTCAAACATTGCACAGAAGTCCTCGCGGAACTGCTGGTATCCAAGCACAATGAAGTCAAGCAAACTGCACCTCAAAAGATGTTTTTTTAATCTACTTGATGGTGTGCCCAAGCCATGAATGGGAATTAAGGCATCGCGACTGACAACACTTTCTGACATCCACATACCTGCGGAATGAACTTTACTACTATTAGATGTCCCTACCGTACAGTTCTCGGGTAGCGTGAATACCTCGACAAAAGTCTGTGGCCACAGTAAACAAGCGAAAACTGGCGATAAGTATGTTGTTTTCAACAGCATTGTTAATCAGTTTCTAGATCACTTTTGGTACGTATGATTGCGGGACTCCTCGCGTGTCATACAAGGAGTAGACCATTCTCATCAACATGAATGACGTTTAAAAATTTTACCGGTGCATTCGAACAACAGCATTTCTTACATGCCCGATAACACTTGCGACGACAGTCCCATTACCTGCATTTGTCCTGCTGTTGCTTGTCCGAAGTCACGTCGGCCACCGACAGTTTACACGGGCCAGAGGGACCGGAGTCGATGCCGCACAGATGATGAGCAGCCGCTGGGCCAGCCGAGGACGTCCGCCGCCGAGAGCCGCGCAGCCTCTCCTGCTGTCAGCCGAGCCTTGACTGACCGGTCCGAGCCGGGGGGGGGGGGGGGGGGCAGGGGACGGCCGAGGGAGCAGGAAGTAAGCAGCCGGCGGGGTCCGCTCCCCCGGCACCAAGGCGATCCGTGCACGACCCCAGTCTGAGGTCACCGTCGGGGGGGGGGGGGGGCGGCGGGGCGGCGGCGGCACGAGGGCAGGCGATCAGGGCAGGCGAGCTCTGGGGCAGCAGAGCGAGGACACGGACCGGGCAGCAGAGCGAGGACACAGACCGGGCAGCAGAAGCCAGAAGACTGGTGTCCGGAGGCTTACATCACGCGAAGTCGTGAGGGTACAACACATTGGCGTGTGGGGTAAGACTGGCGGCTTACACTGCAGGGTCATGGTTACCACTGTCATGAAGTTCAGATAATATGGTATGGGTTCTGGAATCATGGGGTGGAAAGGATCCAAAACGCTTCCGAACGGCCGTGGTCAGTGGTAGATATTCCGTACTGAGCCAACTCGCGGTCGGACGAAGGTAGATTGACTGATTTCAACGTTTATGCGAGGTGGATTTCTTGTTTCACGGGAACACGACGCACGACATCACGAGCCGTTGCGTATATATAGATAGATAGATAGATAGATAGATAGATAGATAGAGGAGAGAGAGAGTAAAGAGAGAGAGAGAGAGAGAGAGAGATTATATAATAATAATATATATATATATATATATATTGGGATAGAGAGAGAGAGAGAGATATATATGTATATATATTATATAATATTAATATATATATATATATTATAATATATATAATGGTAATAATATCTCTCTCCCTCTCTCCCTCTCCCTCTCATCTCTCTCTCTCCTCTCTCCTCTCTCTCTCTCTCGCTCGGTCTCACGTCTCTCTCTCCTCTCTCTCGTCGTCTATAATATAATTATATATAGATATATATATAATATATATAATATATATATATATAAATGGTACTCCTCTCTGGCCGCTCAGGGCCCCACCGGCCGCTGGGGTTATGGATGGAGATGCGGTGGGGTCAGGGGCGACGGGGGCATCCATGCTTCCACGGTCTTGGAACACGCAAAACCTGGGGTTTGGAGGAGAGGTCCAGAGAAAACCACGAGCACGCCGTTGAGGTAACGTTCGGCCGGGGGTCAAGAGGCTTCGGCATGAACAGGTCTGGAACCGGTGCACGGACCACAGGGGAGAGCATCGGAATTTTATTGGCGGACGCCAGTCAACAACCACCAGTCCGGCAGCTGTTGAGGTTGCTGAACTGAGTACTTTTAAGATTGTTCAGTGCAGTGAAAATGTAAGAAATAATCAGCTTCAGTCATGAAACTACTGTGCTTACCTTGGCTGATTGACCAATGTGTAAGTCAGTTAACATTTGTTTTATATTTAACTGTTGCTCTTAGTTAAATGTATCGTAGTGATATCACCCATGATTCAAGGTGCCGAAGAAGCGATGTTCATGTGCTGCTCACGACGGAACCAATACGTTCATTACGCTGGCGTCTCTCTGTTCTTTCGTTTCTTCATCGCAAGCAGGGATGCCACGATTGTGCGGCTTCGGTCGCCACGGTCGTGCAGCTTCAATCGATTTCCAGACAGCATGTCATTTGATAGGCACAATGGGAGGAATGTGGCGGCTTCAAAACTTTCTGCTGTTCTTCAGTGCCTATCCACCCGTCCCTACATATGACAACGTACGTCACCGTCGCATGAAGCTATTTTAACGAACCGATGAATGTAACTTACATAAGATGGTATTACGGTTCCAATGTAGGGATGTGATAACCGTGCCTCCCCAGCTTCATGGCTACACCCCTGCGCCCGGATCATCTAGCCCTGGCCGCCCGGATCATCTAGCCCTGGCCGCCCGAATCGGAGTCACTGAGCCCGGACGGAGGCCGAGGAAGCGGTTGCGTGACAACAGCAGGAAACACAGCGTTTGAGCCCGCCTGTTCTGTTCGGGCCGTCCCGTCCACGCTTCCGTCGGGCAACCGGCGCGTCCTGGGCCGGGCAGCCCCAGACAGAGAGGGTGCCTCTGCCGCTGCCTGGCGGTGACACGGCAGCTTTGGGAGGCAGGCGGCGATGGGTACGAGCGGGCTTCCCTCTCTTCGCCGCCACGCTCCACAGTCGGCGGCGGAAGGGCCAGCTTTGGGTCAATACGGGAATACCACGGACAAACGAACGTCCACAGCGGCTAAATGCGCACATGCACCGCAATCTGAAGGACGTTATTGCCATCGATTAACGTACCGCACCGCACATCTCAGCAAATTGCGCGGCCCAGGGGGTTGTCGCTTGCGTGGCGACGTCAAGTGACCGTTCGGGTGCTGGCGTGACCGTTCGGGTGCTCGTGGGTGCTCGCGCGTTGTGATTGCTGATTGACCCCGGAATTCCAGCCGATTCTGCTGAGTCAGGCACAAGTCTGCTGCAATGCAGAAAGCCTTCCAAAAGATGATGTCATAATGCTCAACACCACCAACCTACGAAATGCTCAAGAAACAATGGCTAAGCTTTCATGCAATAAGATTCGAATCTGCATTGAGGTGGCTCAGTGCTGTGCACGAGCGAGCTCCTCCCCTCATGTTTTTTTTCAGAATCCTCCGAAGTATATTTCATTGCTCCTTTTATGTTGGTCATGTGTGGCTTCTGAGCTTGATTTCTGAGTAGGCCACTGCCGAAATTTTTCCGTTGATGTCCGTTTCAACGCTATTTTAGCAAATCATTTCGCCTACTTGCGTTTCATTGTATAAAACATGAACGAATACACAACGTGTGCTTACATCTATGGAACACTAAATCTAACAGCGGCGGTTCCAGAGCAGTAGCATCGAAGGCTTCTAAAATAATACGAGCGGGTACTAATGGCGATGTACGCAGCCGTACAAGGGCTATGTCTTGCCTCGTTTTCATGGAATTGTCTTTCGCGTCCATTTTCATACACTAACCAAAAACAAGATTCAGAGGCGAGTCCAGGCACGGAAAATGGGCGGTAAATGTTGGGCGAAACAATGCTCTCATTGGTATCTGAATCAATACAGATACTAGCGTAAAGTCCTTCTCCGTGATGCGCCATTCTTCCGTCGCGGTGCTATTGAGCGCTCCAGCGGTCCCATAGGCGGCTGGGGAGACCCGTCAAGCGCAACTTCAGGCCATCGCGGAGGAGCCAGACTGAGCGTGTCTCTCGCAAGAGCTCTGACTTCGGTCAGAGTAAGAATTAGCAGCCCTTCAGTTCCAGTTTTTAGCTCTATTAGGTTGCCGTCTCTAGTTTTGCATCACAGTAGTGATGAAATGGACCTGGGTGCTTGGATAGCCGCCTTGCCGGCCTATCTCGGCGTCCATCAACATGCGACAGCTAGATGTACCAGCCTGCTGGTGCTCCGTGTTGATCCCGCACGCGGGGAAACGGCCCGCCAAGCGCCGTCCTTGTGCGGCACTGGCATGGAGCCAATCGAGTTGGGCGTCGTGTGTTGCGGGGGGGGAGACCACTGGGTGCAATGACCTCATGATGCTTCAGCTGTGGCTCATGTCGAAAAGGTGTCTCGTCAGCTCTTGTGAGTCAGGGCACTGGGTCTGGCAGACTTGTACCGGGCGGCACCGCAGCGGCGTTCTTGGCGCTGCTGTCCGCGTACAGCGCGCAGGTAGTCTTCGGGGCGCAGTAGTTGCCCAGTGTGCCGTCCCTCTTTTGTGCTCTGATTCGTTGGGTGGGGAGCCTGCGCGCTGAAAGAACCTCAACCACGCATGGATCATCAAAGCACACACAAAGCCACCGCCGGCCCCCTTCGTAGAGGACCCGTGTCCGGTCTCTCCAGCAGGGGCTGGACCATTGACCTGATCTGCAGGTACCAAAACGCAGCGCAGCACCTGATCGTGAGGAGAGAGCCGTCTGGACGATTTACTTTGAATGGCTGTTGAGCCAAGGGGCCCCGAGATGGATTCCTGTTCATCGAATACGACAGGGAGCTCGATATAAAAACATTGACAACCAGGCTCTCCTGCTACCTTGTCCACGAAAAGAGTTTAAGGTACCAATCTCTGTGACATCCCGCCACACACTCAACCAGGGGAAGGGGGTTATTTCTTGCCGGGCGCTGGGGGGGGGGACACATGAGAAGGTGACGGAGGAGTTAAGCTGAGGGGTGGCACATGATGAGGTGACGGAGGGGTTAACCCGAGGGGTGGCACATGAGGAGGTGACGGTGGGGGGTTAGCTTCTCCGGGCGTCTTGCGCGTTGAGGACATCACGCTCGGACCTCGTGGAGACTAAAGACAGACGGTCAGCTTCGTTCTCCCCGGAGCCCGCCTGGGGTGCTGGTCCGCTCCCTCCCCTCCTCCCTCCCACGTATGATTGGCAATTCACGTGGCACAGCCTGACGGCGGCCGGGTATCCCCCGCCGTTATCGTGTTCTCCGGCGAACTCGGGCTCAGGGGTAGGGGAGGGGTTCGAGAGCTGCAGACGGAAGGCGGGTGTTGTCCCCCGCCGGTCAGGGCGGGAGGCGAGCGCCACCCTGGCCTGTATCCCCCACAGTCGGCGGGAGTTCGAGGTCCCGCCCCAGAGTGCGGTCAGAGTCCGAGGTCCCGCCCCAGAGTGCGGTCAGAGTTCGAGGTCCCGCCCCAGAGAGCGGTCAGAGTTCGAAGTCCCGCCCCAGAGAGCGGTCAGAGTTCGAGGTCCCGCCCCAGAGTGCGGTCAGAGTTCGAGGTCCCGCCCCAGAGTGCGGTCAGAGTTCGATGAGACAGTGAGCCGCAAAGTCCAGCCATTCAGCTGAGGGGCATAACCCGAACACCACTTTTTTTTAAGGGATACTTGCACGACGATATTACCGGTAACGTGAATTGTTTACGGCATATTGGTAGCCTAATGGCAAAGTCGTCCATTTTACAATGAAACTTAAGAGATGTGAAAGCCATCATCTCTTAAGTTGCTTCTCAACTTCACCGATTTGCAGAAGAATTTCCACTCAGGACGCCGGCCGTAGCTCAGCTGCCAGAAAC